AGAGAGAGCGAGAGAGAGCGAGAGAGAGCGAGAGAGAGAGAGAGAGAGAGAGAGAGAGAGCGAGAGAGAGAGAGAGAGAGAGAGAGAGAGAGCGAGAGCGAGAGAGAGCGAGAAAGACGGAGCGAGAGAGAGCGAGAGAGAGCGAAAGAGAGCGAAAGAGAGAGAAAGAGAGAGCGAGAGAGAGAGAGAGAGAGAGAGAGAGAGAAAGAGAGAGAGAGAGAAAGAGAGAAAGAGAGAGAGAGAGAGAGAGAGAGCGCGCGAGAGAGAGAAAGAGTGAGAGAGAGAGAGAGAGCGAGAGAGAGAAAGAGTGTGTGAGAGATCGAGAACGAGAGAGAGGGAGATAGAAGGGGGAGAGGGGAAATGCTCTTACGATATCAGATGTAACTTATGATTAATTATAATTTAATTATATTTGTTTAAATATTTCGACAGACACTGATATATCAGGATGGCCTGCTGATGTCGGGCTCCCTTGAGGCTTTGATTCAGCACCTGGTACCAACGACGACCTATTATCCTGACGTGAGTGTCACATTGCAGCACCGCACGCACACATGTACATGCGCACGCACACATACACGCTCACGCACGTACACGCGCATGCACGCACACAGAGACATGCATTTGCGCACATCCACACGCACACGCAAAAGCGAGAGAGAGCGAGAGAGAGCGAGAGAGAGCGAAAGAGAGAGAGAGAGAGAGAGAGAGAGAGAGAGAGAGAGAGAGAGAGAGAGAGAGAGAGAGAGAGGGAGAGCGAGAGAGATAGAGAGAGACAGAGTGTTAGTTAGCAAGAAGAAGCACAAAAGAAAGAACACACATGACAAAACAAGAAAAAAACGACGAAAAGATGCTAACCGAAAAGCTTGTGTTTTTCTCCCGCAGAGGGCGTACATCTTCGCCTTCCTGCTCAGCTCGCGTCTGTACGTGCGGCCGCACGCGCTCATGCGCGACGTCTGCCAGGTCTGCTCCAGCCAGCAGAACCTCAGCAACGCGCTCAAGCGAGACAGCCTCAGCCTCGGCAAGTTCGGACTCAACATGGTGCGCCTGCTCAGGTAGGTGGCGCCACCGGGCAGAGTTCTGCCGACGCGGTCCCGCGCTGATGAGAGACGGGTTTTTGATACGGACGAAGTTAGGGGTAGGGTTAGTTAGGCGTTAGTGGTTGGTTAGTGTTAGGGTTTTGGTTAGGGGATGGGGTTAGATTACGGTTTGGCATTAGGGATTAGGGTCAGGTTTTTTTTAACGTTATTTTAGCTTTTAAGTTACGTTAGCTTAAGGTTCGGGGTAGGGGTAGCTTAAGGTTAGGTTGGATTATGTCAAGTTGGAGTTAGGGTTAGGCAGATGCGTGACCAATCCACGTCACCGTACACCCTCCCCACACCAGGCAGCACCTCTCACTCGACGCATATGCGTTCTATGCTTCCCCTACAGTGAGTGAGGTTAGGGTTAGGGTTAGGTGGACGCGCGACCATCTCTCTTCAACGGAGGCGTTTCCGTACGACTTCCGGGACGAGCGTGTCATGAAGCAGCTGAAGGAGATCATACACAGACTGTGCGTCGCTGACTGTAGCCTGCGGCCCAGCCTCATGCAGATACTCAACGCCCTGCTCGACTGCGTGAGTTAATGAATCAACTTCGTTAATTAATTAATGCTGAATATTGTTAATTAGTAATTGATTACGTTGACTGCAGCCTGCGGCCGCGCCTCATGCAGATATTGAACGCCCTGCTAGACTGCGTGAGTCGCCGCTAGACTGCTAGGCTGCATTGATTAATTACTAATGATGATTATCGTTATTAATTAGCAATTTATTGTCATGTTATGCTACGTTGTATTGTGAAAATTATTGTTATCAAATTAAATATTAATAAATTAGTAATAATTACTGTATATTAGCAACATCACGTTATTTTATGTTATATTATAGTAATTATTGTTATTAAATTAAGGCAACGTTAGCGATTTATTATTATAAATCAATTGAAATAAATAATATAATAAATAATAATAGCTATGATCGACTGATAAATGAGTAATAATCATAAACAATATTATTATTACTGGTAACTAATAATCTGACGATTCCATCTCTCTATATATTATGTCTTTATACTAGTGTGTCCATATATTATATATATGTTATCTGTATACTAGTGTCCCCATATATTATATCTGTATACTAAACTCTCTATGTATATCTATCGTTGCAGCTGACCGATCTTGATAAGTACGAGGTGCGGATGCTGAAGACGTCTGAGGTTGCCCAGCGGCTGGTGGACACCGACAGCCTGGTAAGACCCATGAGATGCTAACGCCACCGTCTACAGTGGCATTATTAGTTTCATATTATATAATTATTATTAATATCACTTTGGATTATTTTTCGGGGGAAAGTGTGCGTTGGTTTAGTTTCAATCGGAAATGATATGACACCGTGGCAAGTTAGCGGCGCGCCAATATTCGTGGCAGGGTTTGTTTGCGGTCCTGTCGCGTCGATTTGGTAGTGATTTCATAGAGGAAGTAGCGGTGTGTCCAATGCTAAGTTTAATTTCAAGGATAAGTTGTGCAAATATGTTTTAATAGCGTATTGTCTCTTTCGTGATGCAACGTCAAATCGTATGATGATGTGAAATCAATATGTTAATGTATAAATCATAGCGGACATGTGTTAGATTGTGACGTTCTTGCGTAAATCGTGTTGATCGTGCATATATTGTGTCGAGCACGCCTAATCGTGTTCAACAGACGTGTTATTTCTCAGCACGCGCATCCTAATGTCGAGTTTGTCGCCATGAAGTAACCAAAATCGACACTTAGCTAGGGGAAGTCGCGTCTGCAACGTTCGCCGTTGTCCGTCTGAAACGTTCTCTTGTCTACACGCAGCAGACGGACGTGCACGAGATGTGCGAATCGCCGGCAGTGTTGGCGGAGCAGCTAACGCATATCGAGTTGGAACGGTTGCGCCACCTGGGACCAGAAGAGTTCGTGCAAGCCTTCGCTGAGGATTCCAAGTGTGCTGAGGTGCGCCCTCTATGACCCGTTGTTAAATATAAACATTTGTAGTGTGATATATATATATATA